ACACACATTTGTAAGGTATTTTGGAGAAAAAACGAAGGGAGTTTTAGACTATTTTAACTCTAGGTTATTTTTCACTTGAAGTGAAAAGGTTTGATTTAAATTCTCTCCCTTTGGGAAGAAGTTCATTCATAGCAAAACATGCAGTTTTCAAACGACCCTTCATGTCAGGAATGAACTCGTCTTGCACTTCCAAGGACAACAAGCCTCAGCAGTACCAAACAATACATTCACCTCATACACACAGGTAAGTTTTAAAAAGGTCTTTGTTTTGTTTTTACCAATGTGTTATTTTTAAGCTTAGTGCTCAAACTGTACTTTACTGATAAGATTATTCCAGAGCTACTCATTCGTTCATTAGAAAATTCAGCCTGATAAATTGACTCAGCTGGAATGAAAACAGAAGCAGCTCCCACAGAATGTGCTGAGAGTTGTCTCTATGTCACTATTCAACTTATTTTAGTGCAGACAGCTCCCAGAATGGGGCAGCACTTCCATAGGCTCAGTCACACCTTTGGTAGACATTAGAATTTATATTAACAGGTGTTAAATTTTTAGGTGTGTTTACAGAAAGCAAAGTGCAGCATTAGTTATCTGGTAGGATTTTTGGTTACACTTATGTCAAGCTAAGACAAATTCAACAGTTCAGATTGCCACACTAATCAAAAGAATTCACCAAAGGGACTTTGCTACAGGACTCAGGAACCTTTACTCTGCCCAGGAATAAAACCAAGGACTAACTGCCCCATGTCAGTGAGGGATAAAGAGCAGAATCTTTGCTTAAAAGCATGCAAAAATCCTGTGACAGAGCTAGGGAAACCTCCTCTTCATTCTGTTTATTAGTAAAATTATCTTAAATGCTGACAGCAAAGTTAAATTAAATATACAAAGTAGATTTCAGTCCTCTCCCCACTCATAACAAGAACGACACACAGAGAAAAATTCATTACCAGCATGAACTGGAGCCACACTTGTGTGTGACAACAATACCAGGCACACACTGTCAGAAGGTATAACATGCACAGAGAGGCTTTAATTAGCATAGAACAGTCATGGAATACAATTAAAAATTTAACTGAATGCAACCCCCCTCCCCTTCCGATTCTTCCTAACCTGATATTGAGCACTTTACAGTTGGTTCCAAGTGGCACTTGTGCCTCAGACCTCTGAAAAAAACTTTCCTACCTCAGAAATCCAGTTGCTCTGCAGTCACTCTGAATAGACCTAATGAAGTAGCTCACCTTTTGCATTACATACTCTGATGCATGGTGTGTATATTTTGCAAGGGAGAAGAAAATAGAGTTAGCCATTCTGCCAAAACAGGACAGTATTAAAGAAGTGAAGGCAAATATATTTAAATTCAGCTAACAGACTGTTCTGTAGGAAAGAATCTTCCACGTTGAGCCATTCTTGGAGCAGAATGTGTAGATTTGGAACAGGGGAAACTGCCCCTCCAATGCAAGCTGCAATTACCCTCTCCCTCCCAAAAAGGAGCCAGTGTATACCCTGTACAGATTTAACCTCAGAAATAAGTTGATGGGTTTTACCTGTTCTCGATGCCCACACTTGGCTGCCACTTGCAGTGACTGGAATGGAGAGGAGGGATTTCGGAAGGACGGGCAGAGGGACCGTGCTGACTCCATATGGAGAGGACCCTGCCCAGTGAGTATGGCAAGGAGGAGGCGAGCTCAGCGGGTACACAGCTTGGATACCTTGCCCCTTTCAAACCCTGTGCCAGTTGGGATATAAATAGTCTCTGGATGGTAGGAATATGACTGCTTAAGTTTCTTCTTCTTGTCCAAATCCTGTAACATCCAGGGGAAGAAAGTGCTAACACTGTGTGAAGGCCAAGCGTGGAACAACCTCCTCTTCTCTCAGCTACAATGTTTCTTCCACGGTCAGGATGAAGAGCATCAGTCCTTGGGGCTGTTATGGAGTGAGAGAAACGAAGCTCTTTATTTAGAGTAGAATCTTCCTCGAAAGCTGTTGTATCTGAACAGCTTTGAGACAGGAGAAGAGACAAAGTCCACTTTGAAGCTGGCGCTGGCATTTCTCTGGAAATGGGTCCGTGATGTACAGAGTGCTGGGATGTAATCCCTGTGAGGTCTGGCACGAGACTGGAGTCCAATTTTATGTGAAAAGAAATTGGGAAAACCGGGGTGTCCGAGAAAGAGGTCGGAGGCTTGTGGCTTAAGTCTGAAAAAAGTATTTTGGTAGTTTCTACAGGATAAAGTGCCAAAGGCTGAAAGCTGAACATCTTGGTGCACCAACTGCCAGCCCAGCGTGAGTGAACATTCCTGTTAATGCAAGAAAAGGCTTCCAAGAGATTTTTCGATCTGTGGTGGCTGTGCCTGTCACCCACTGGAAGCATTTCAGAGGAATATGGCCGAGGTTCTAAGTCACGGGCGCCCTTGGCAGGGGCCAGGAGCTTGTTGGCCATGGCAGACAACTTGCTCAGCAATGCTGGTTCTTTGGTACATTTCCGAAATTTCAAGCTGTTCAACAAACTGCCCCTCCTGGCCCTCTGCCTTGGCATAGGAGCAAATCTCAAAGGTGTTTCCCTTTCCATTGGTGGTGGTTGACATGGAAAGTACAAAGATTCCAGAGGTGTGTTTTCCTGCTTAGGGAATATTTGCAGGGGTAACTCAAGGAAAGGTGGACTTTTAATTTTTTTGATTTTTCTAATGGTTTTTAGCTGATACGATGTGGGAACCTTTTTGCATGTCCTTCCAGGTTGTATTCTTAGTGGAAGAGGTCCTCCTAGTTTCTTTGTCATTCCTCTTAGTTTATTTGTAGTTCCAAAGGCACCAGGGATTCCATCATACCCTAAATTAAGGTTCAGGTTTTCCATTTCTGAATCCTGAGTCTTCAAAAACTGTGAACTAATAATATCTGTGGTAATCTTTGGCCTTTTAACTTCTTGTAAAGTGCTACATAGTTTCCTTTCACTGCTGCTAACAGCAAAAGTCTCCTCTAAAGGACCTTCAAACTTCGTATTTCTAGATGTCACCAACTCATTTGAAGAGCTGCCTAAGAGTTCAGAACTGTGCAACATACTGGGTGTGATTTTTGCTTTCTCTTGCTGTTCTAAATTCTGTTCTTGGTGTGCCTGGTCTGACTGATGCACTTCCATCTTTTCATACTTCTTCTTTTGTTTAGTTACTTGATGTTCCTCTGTTAGGTCAAGTCTCTTTGAACCTAAAGCCTCACTGTCCTTGCAAAGTGCACGAGTTGGTCCTGTGTCCTGGCCCTCTGTTCCCTCCCTTACATGATCTGTGCTCTGTGCAGTTGATTTGTAAGGCACACGTGCTTCCCTGCAAACCACCCAGTTTGGGGATGGCTCTGTGCCCCTGTCTGATGGGGAGCTCAGAGGTGGATGGAGTGTGGGTGTTGGATCACACTGCACTCCTGGGGAAGCCTCTGCCTCACACACAGCTTGACAATCCTGCACAGTTGCTGAAAGCACACTGGTACCTGCTAAGTCTGTGAGCTTTCCATCATTTTTTCTTTCGTTTGAAACATAATTTAGGTTGGATCTTGAGATTTCTTCCAAAACCTTGCCATGATTCTCAGTACTGAGGGGGACTATTTTGCTATCAGACCCTTTAGAATCTTCTAACAAGGCCCATGGATGATTTCTGAGCAACTTTTTTCTAGGGGCTACTTCTTCTCCCATCTTCTACACATGTATTTTTAAACGTCTCTTCACAGGGAGGAGTTTTTGGTGAGGTCCCATCCATGTCAGTTGGTGTGCAGTGCCCCTCACCTTTCAGGCTTTCTTTGCTGTGGGCACAAACTCTTGAGCTTTTTGCACCATTTAGAGAGCCTGGTGCCATTTCACTCTCTGAAGAGGGAATCTCAATACTGCTGCATTTTCTCTTAACAGAAATTATTACAGAAAGAATTTTTGTCATTGAAGAATCTTTGCTGAATTTTTTGTCTGAAAACAAGTCATCTCTTTGTTTATCCTCAGGTGACATACACAGCTTTTCCTTCTCAGGCAGAGAGATGCCACAGCTCAGAGCTGACAGTGTTTCTGAATCCACCTGAGTCTTATTAAAAGGTTCTTGGCTGTCAAACTTTCCAGAATGGGATGGACTAACACCCCTTGGAGCACTGGTTTCTTTACCAGGCTCAGACATTAACTGTGGGCAAGTGTTATTTAAGCCAGGTTTTATGCTCAGACTTTCTCTGTGTTCTGTATCTGAAAGCACATTCATATTTTCTGGCTTAGATGTATTTTTAAACTTCTCTTCACAGGGAGGACTTTTTGGTGAGGTCCCATCCATGTCAGTTGGTGTGCAGTGCCCCTCACCTTTCAGGCTTTCTTTGTGGGCACAAACTCTTGAGCTTTTTGCACCATTTAGAGAGCCTGGTGCCATTTCACTCTCTGAAGAGGGAATCTCAATACTGCTGGATTTCCTCTTAACAGAAATTGTTACAGAAAGAATTTTTGTCATTGAAGAATCTTTGCTAAAACCTTTGGCTGAATATGGATCACAGTTCTCTCTTTGTTTATCCTCAGGTGACATACACAGCTTTTCCTTCTCAGGCAGAGAGATGCCACAGCTCAGAGCTGACAGTGTTTCTGAATCCACCTGAGTCTTATTAAAAGGTTCTTGGCTGTCAAACTTTCCAGAATGGGATAGACTAACACCCCTTGGAGCACTGGTTTCTTTACCAGGCTCAGACATTAACTGTGGGCAAGTGTTATTTAAGCCAGATTTTATGCTCAGACTTTCTCTGTTTTCTGTACCTGAAAGCTCATTCATATTTTCTGGGTTATATGACATGGATGTCCCATGGATTGATGAGATGGGTAAAAATTGGGCACTAACTGTATTTTCTTGTTCCTCCACCAATGACTTCATCTTTGGCAAAGACAGATGTGTTTTGTTTCCTGCAAACACCAGCTCTGCTTTCTCTGGTGCAGGTTTGATAGAACAATGCTGTGAGCCATGTGCTTTGCTCTCAGAAGAGCTTTCTTTGAGAGTTCCTTTACTGCCTGTTTCACATCCATCCTCATGTTCTTTTAGTTTGATTGTCTTCTCTTCAATTAGATCATTGATGGAGCCCATGGATCCTGAACAGTCTTCATTTCTCACACCAGTTAAGGAGTCCAAATTCACTACATTCTCTTTCAGAGTTCCTTCAAACCCGTCTTCTCTTGCATATCTGTGCATTAACAGAGGCAAGTCATCCCCTGCTTTCAGCACTACCTCTTCCCCCAGACTAGAGCCAGATTCACTTCCTTCCTCAGAGCTGTCTGTAGTTTGTAAGCCAGGGTTTGGTTGGTTGGGTAAAGTCTCTAAGGATGGGTCACTGCCTGGCCCTGGGCCACCAAACTCACCCTGACAGCCATGATGCCAGTTTTCCCTTGGGCAGAGGGTGGGCTCTCTGTGGCTGGCATGTTGTGTTGGGATGCTCACGTTGGCAGGTGCTGGACATGCAGCACAGGCTGAGGTGCTGCAATCTGAGGGATCTGCTGGGAGTGAGGGCACTTCCTCCTGCTCCTGAGTGCCCAGAGAGTTGCAAAATCCAAAATTATGAACATGGGTGTTTTTGTCCAAATATGTGACTAATAACTGTTCACTGGTCTTATTTCTCTGATTGCCTTCAGGAGTGTTTGGAGAATCCACAGTTCTTGTTCCGCCACCTTTCTCTGTCTGGGAAGTACACGTGCACATCTGTTCCTTTGCCTCCTCTCTGTCACAAACAACTCTGCTGCCATGTGCTACTTCACAAACATCAAATAGTTTCACAACCTCCACACTCTTATTTGAAATCTCATCTCTTACCGAGGTAGCAGCAGACTTCTCTGCATTATAAGCTGAGCAAAACATGGGTTTTCCTGTGGGAATGTCATTTATCCCATGCAGAGCTACACCTCTGTTGCCCCAGTCATCTTCACAAGGAAGAGATCCACATGCCAAAGGGAAGTGTGCTTCTGGAAAGATGATTGCCTCTGTATTATATCCAGATGAAGACTCTCCTTCCAAATTACCATTTTCTTCAATCTTCTTATCAACATCAACAGAATGACTGTTCAGGAAAACTTCACCCACACGTGCGCTCCCTGATAAAATCCAGGAAGCACAAGCAGCTGTACACTGGTCTTTTATACACTGATTATTACAATGCCATGTGTAACAAGGTTCATTTTCTAAACCAGTGATCACTCTCCCTGGATTTCCTGCAGATTTCATGTCCTTTTGGGATACTCTGCTTGTCATATTAGGGTTAGCAAAAGTCCTGGAACTTACTGAAGACTTGAATTTGTCTTTATGAAGCAAAACTTCCGTGACTTGTGCCCCTGTTGTTCCAGAAGCACCAATGGTTTCTGTTCCAGACAGATTATCCCAAGCCTTGTCCCTGTGTGAAATTTCATTAGCAGTACAAGGAGGACACTCATTATGATGAGGTTCTCTTGCTTTTTGTAAAACAGGAGGTAGATTTACATTTAGTGTACAAAACAAATGTGTTTCTTTCCCAGTGGACAAACTGCCACTGCCATCAGCTTCTGCAGCTTCAACTACACCAGCAGCCAACCCATCTGATGTTGTATTGCTCTCAGAGTCCTTTGCAAGCAGTTGTGCCTTGGGTGGATCTTTTTCCAGCTTGGTACCAAGGTCAAGACAGCTGTGGTTGCTGGGAGGAGGAATTTTATTGGAGGCATTGTAAGAGCTTATGTCTCTCTGTCCAGTTCCATGGGAAGCAATGTTGCCGGTTTCCATCAACAGACTCTTTTCTTTTCTACCATCCTTGAACAGGTCACTGACAGAGAATTGCCACTGGTTCTTTTTTAACTTCTCACCTTCTGATGGGATTCTTTTAAATTTTTCCTTGGAGAAGTCCTCAGGAAATGAAGCAACAGAACTAAAAACTGAAGAATGACAATGATCAACACCCTGTTGAGCTTCAGGCCAGCTCCAAACTTCCATGTTATCTCCCACAGCAATTTTTCTCCAGACTTCAGCAGCCTGTCCAAACTGAGAGCTGTATGATTTACCTATACCAGCACTTAATTCCCTAGGATCAGTTTTAGCACTAGATAATCCTTTGTTCCTCACCGCTGGGATCTGCTCTACTGGCACAGATGTGGAGCTTTGATTCCCTACACACCCAGTTCCGTGATCATAATGAGTGTGACGTTCCACGTTTTGAGGAAGATACTTTAGGGGGGGTTCATTGATAATTCCATGAACTGCAGTACTACTGTTTTCTACTGGCATATTTCTGAAGTCCAGATAAGAGATGCTCTTCAGAACCGGACATGAAACTCCAGAACTCGGTGTGGACAGTGTCCTACAGCTCCCTGCTGAGGACAACCCACAAAGGTCATTTTGTTTGGGTACAGCACCCTTACAGAAGTCATGAGCATCATGTTCTTCATCCTGCTGACAAGTCTGGCAATGAGCACGTGATGCACTGAATTCATTAACGGGATTTCGTCTGGGTAACTTTTCTTCTTTAATCTCCAAGGCAGACACACCACTCCCCCCTGCTCTCATGGCAGCGTGGGCTTCCAGCCCAGTAAAGTCTTGGGGATGGTCTGTGGCTGCTCCAATGTCCGTGACTCTTAAAGGCTCTAGAAAATCTAAGATGCTGGTTTGTTTAACCCCAGCTCTTGCCAGGACTTTGTCTACATCTGGGCATTCCTTGCTCTCAGCTGGAAGACCTTTACTCACTCTGTCATTCCTGTATCCTGCTTTACTAAATATCCTAGTCCCATCAGCCTTCATACCTTGTACTTCTTCAGGGAGCTTTGGCAGAGTTTCAGCTGTCACCTGAACATTTGCTTGGTTTTCCTCTGCATAAGAAAAGATAAAGCAAATCAGAAGCATACACTAAATCTGGACAGCATTCAGCTTAGTCCCTTTGGCTGTTGCAGCAATACTGCAGTGTCAGTGCCCAGCATGTTTCCAAAAGGGAGAATCGATGCTAACAATGTTACCACCAGCCTTTAGAAGATAAACGAACTCCACCACCACCCTAAGGTAACAAACCCAATCCATTCCAATACAGACACTCCCATGAGCATTCCAAGACCTGGGTATTTCCTATTCCTCTACTATCGAGCGAGGTGCGATGCAGGTCCTATAACTTAACACACAGGCCACCAGCATAAAGCTTGTTTTTAACATCAAAACTGGGGATTTGATCTGCTCCAGCCTGGAAAGATGGCTGGGCATTGAGTGGCCATTTCTTCCTCCTTGAAGACATTTCTGTCAGTGACTCATCCAAAGGAACACAAGGCATATCTCATCTGTCCAAGCAATTTGGATTATTAATAAATTTCTTCCATAAAATCACAAAGAAGGTGCTAATTAAAGAATTACAGTTACCATAGAATATCTTCATATTCAAAACTTTACAGGGAACATTTTTGCTCAAAATTCTGCAGATCTTTTCCAGATTTTCTAGTAAGGACTAAGACTAGATGGTATTTGTCAGCCAAGCAGAAGTTAAGGTTAAGAAAGCAGGGAGGAAGAAAGAAAATAAGTACTAGATATAGGCAAAGTGACCAAAGTATTTGGAGCTAGAAGATTCTGGAGGATCATAATGAAATTTAGATTTAGCTTAGTTGTCCTCTTCCTTTGGATTCTGCCCTTTTAATTTCACTTTTTAAAACATTCAAAAATGACTAATACTGTTCCATGTATTTGCTATTACTGCTCTCATATAATCCAGCTTTGAAACAAAATGAAATGCAAAACATCTTCTACTGGCACCCCCTTCTGCTTTGGGGAAAATAATTACTTGAATAATTAAAATACATCTTGTATGGAAAAGGTCTTCAGGAAAGTACATGTGCTGCCAGGGCAAAGCAAAGCTTTAAGGTTTGGTGTTGTTATAGTTATGCAGGGAAATAGTTTCTTCTGTAAAACAAAATAAATGAACTATTCCCAAACCATTCATCATCAATTTTAAATCAACAATAAGTAACTGGGAGGGAAGCAAGGGGTAGAGAGGGATGTACAGCTAAAGTATCTACCTGTGCTCCTCAGAGATCCTGTAACTTCAGTGCAACAGGCTCTTGAAGACTTTGCCTCTTGCTGGTTGCAGTGAGGGTCCTCCTGAAACAAGACAAAGATCAGTGGGGATGGATGGATGGATTTCTGACATGTGTCGAGTCTCGGGGACTGCACCTGCCCAGCTGGGTTAGTTCAGGGAAAGCAAATCACCAAGAAACCTGTGGGCAGGTGAGCCTTGCACAGAGCCTTGCACTGCAAGTGTTTCCCACAAGCACCTGTCATTCCTCCCCATCCTTGCAATCCACACCATGAAACAAGGATGCATCCACAGAAGAGCTGCACTCAGCAGCAAAGAGGTCCTGTGACAAAGGCAGCTAAAATGTAAGTATGTAAGCTAAAATGGCTTAAATGTAAGTATGTAAGCTAAAATGGCTTAAAATGCAAATTGTTGAAAATCTGAATGAGCAGAGTAACCCAGTCTCCAGGGCTGTCTCACACCCCAAACCACCACCCTACACCTCTGGGAAGATGTGGGTATTTTCTGTCTGTTTTGGAATTTGCCTTCTACCACCCCTTCCCTGGGCTCAAAACCACAAACTCACAACAGACGACCTCAGTCTACTTGCAAGAAACCCCAAACCAACACCCCACAACCAAACTTAGAAATATCTAAAAATTCATCTTGGAAAACTGAATGACTGTGGAAAATTTATTTCATTTTATTTTCACAAACTTTCAAAAAAATCAAACAGATATCAAAATTCAGAATTAAACCCACAAATTACTTTAGCATTAAGCAAGACCAAGTAATTAATGTAAAACACACACCTGGGCACCTTATCCTGGTATTTTCTGGCTGGTATGTCTTGCAATACATTTTTTCTCCCCTATATGCTTTTGGTGTGTGTGAAAACTATTTACAAACTAAAGAAAATTGTCAAGGACGTCACTAAAACTCTCAGTTTTTAAATAGAGTTTTGTGACTTCAGTTTTTAACAGAATATTCTTTGGCATATTTTTCAGCAGCTTTGACCTAGAAATAACTTTTATATCATCAGTGTTTGCTAAAGGGGAGAAAAAAAAAACCATAACACTTTTACCCTTTTACTCTTCTGAAAGAGTAAACCAACAGTGATTTCCTCTGTAATTACAAACAATAACTCTAAGCCCAAAAACTGAAATGCTAAACTGGAGCCACCTGCAGCATTATAATTCCACTGCCAGACTGAAGTAACTATTATTTTGTGCTCGGTACCTCGGCTGGGTGTCAGCACCAGCACAGTCCACTGGTATGGAACACCTTTACTGGTATGGAACACCTTTACTGGGCAAGGACACTTGGAGTTGTTTCTCTTCTCCTTTCCAGTCACTGCCAGTTTTGCTCCTTGCTCTGTTTCATACCTGCCTCACACCCTTCCAACAGTGTTTAACAAAGTGAAAACCCTGATGGTTTAAAATGCTGCTGGTCTGCTGAAGAACAGCCTCGTTTTTCACTGGACCCATGATAATCCAAATGCTGACACACACCCTGGAGATGTTCAGGGCCAGGTTGGATGTGGCTCTGAACAACCTGGTCTAGTGGAAGGTGTCCCTGCCCGTGGCAGGGAGTGGAGCAAGATGATCTTCAAGATCCCCTTCCAACCCAAACCATTTATGATTAATAGCAGAAGACACAGAAGAGAACCAGGAAACCCCCTGGCCAAACCCACTGCCTGGTGACTCTGACCCTAAATTCAAGATATCACACAGGGATTCATTTTTGCCTTTGCTTACTTGTTTTGACCAAGTTTCCCCTGGAGTGGAAGTAGAGCCTTCAGCATGACGGTCCTCAGCACCTTGGGCCTCTTCATCTTCTTTCTGGTATCCATCACTGGAACAGTCCACTTTCCTAAAGTGTCTTTTTTTGTTTTGTTCATCCCCCTCAAGGTCTCCAAGCTGCAGCAATTCTTCAGAAAGGGATTCTGCTGGCCCACGAGAAACCACCTCGAGCACGTCACCCAGACCCTCTGTCTTCTGGCAAAAGTTTCCTACTCCAGAAGTCCAGGGAGTGTCCCTGTGTGTCAGCACAGGCACTGACCCCTCAGGTTGTGCCCCCAATCCCAGGGCAGGTCCTGGCACTGCCATGAGTTCCGTGGAGACGCTCCCAGGCAACCCAGGGTACAACTCCTCCAGCACAGCAGCCACAGGAGAATCCAAGAGAGACTCCAGCCCAGCTGAGAGCATCAGGGCAGGTGAGGACTGGTTGTCCCGAGCTTTTCAGTTTATCCTAAAAATAAAAAAGCAATGTTACATCAACATTTGTAGGGTTAATCACAGAATATCCTGAACTGGAAGGGACCCACAAGGATCACTGAGGTCCAACTCCTGCACTAGATTAAAAAGAATTCAAGATTCAACCATCTATGCTTAAGAAAGGTTGAACCTTCCAAACTGGTTTTTAAGGTACTTCCAAATATGTTTTTAAGGTACTTCCAAGTATGTTTTTAAGGAAGGAGCTGAGAAACCTCTGGGTATTTAAGGGAATGCTTTACAAACAAAAGAACAGAGTATGGACAACTAGACATTCCCAAGCCTTGTTTTCACATTCCAACATCTCCCTACAGATTTAACCTCATCTCCTGAAAAACCTGGAAAGAGGCTACAAAGCAAATCACGGGACTTGTATCAGACATCCTGCTCCTTCGCCAAAGCATCCCTCGTTTTCCTGGGATTTCGTAAGTTTCTAATCTTTGGGAAAAAAATCCCAACTTCTCTTCACGTTTCTGCCTCAAAGGAACACCTCCCAAGCCATCACCCTCACACTGTGTCCCGCACCTCCTGACGCTGTGCAGGGGGTGCCCTGTGCGGGCGCAGCCCCGGGGTCGGGATCCTCTGCAGCTCCCAAACAAACACCGCGGCGGCTGCGGGGGCAGAGGGAGGGGAGCCCCGGAGCTCGCATCGCCCCTGCGAGCTCACAGACAGGCGCGGGCTGCGCGGGCCTTCACGGGAGCATCGGTTCCGCAGCTCACTAACGCACGGGCTGATGAGCCGGGCGCTGCCCTCCGCTCCTTAAGCCAGAGCAGCCCGGACACAAACGGGTGTCACTGCGCCCGTCCCGGGAGCTGATCTGCTTCCCGGGTCCTGATCCCTTTCCCGAGTGCCGATTCCCTTCCCGGGTCCTGATCCCCTGTCCAGGGAGCTCCCAGGGAGCCGCGGGCAGGGCCGGGGCGGCCCTTTGTTCCTAGCCCCGCCCCGCCACCCCCGGGGGTCCGCGGCAGCGCACCGGAGGAGCCGCCGCTGCCGGTAATTACACACCCGCCGGTGTCTGCCCCGGTGCCGGCAGGGGCGGGCTCTGCCCCGCACCGCCCCCGCCGCGCCCGGGCAGGGCCGGGCCCCCGGCAGCTGCTCGGTCCCCGCCGCCCGCTCCCGGCCGGCGCTGGGCGGAGGAGGCGGCCCCGCCGCGGAGCCCCGGGACAGCTCCGGGACGGCTCCGCCCCCGCCCCGCCGTTACCTGAGCGGCGGCGGCGCTACGGCCCCGCTCCGGCCCGCCCGGCCCGCCCCGCGCGTCACTTCCGCATCCGGGGCCGCCGCGCGCGCACGCCCACAGGGGGTTACTGCGGCCCCGCCTCCCGCCCCCGCCCGCCCAGCGCAGGGGGCGTGTCCCCCTTCGTCACGCGCCTTCCCGCGTCCTCAGGCAATATCACGTGACGCGCGGCCCGGACGCGGAAGTGGCGCTCGGACGGTGCCGCTGCCCCGGCGGGGACACGGACCCGCAGGTCAGGAACGCGCCTGGGAAGCACCGCGGGGCGGGCGGGGCTGCACCGGGGCAGGGCTGCGCGGCGCACGGTTGCGCTGCGCACGGTAACGCCGCCGCGCTGTGCTGCGCTGTCCCGGCCCGCGGCGGCCGCGGAGCGGCACCGAGCGCTGAGGTGTCCGAGCTCCCCCCTGGGCCGTTTCCCCGGGGCTCTGCGCGGCCGTCGCGCTGCTCGCCCTGCGCTACCGCCCCCCCCCTCCGCGAGAGTTGGGGCTCCGGCGGGCCCCGCTGCGGCCGGACCGGCCCCCGCCGCTGCTCCGGCACGAACTCGCTGGGCTGCTCTCGGTCACTTATAAACGAGCAGCCAAAGGGCCGCAGCGGTTCCGCAGCCGGTCAGTGACCGTAGGTACCCGAGCACTGGAGCTGCTTAGGTTTACTCGCTCTTCAGCCCCTTTCCCTGCCCTGAGTGGCGTTTCTTGCCATCAGTTCCAAGTTCGAAAGTTTATTTTAACGAGTTTTGAATGTACGGATTATTTTCCCACCGCGACGAAGTAATGCAAAGCAGTGCTTTGGACTTCAGTGTTTGCTGTCCCTATCCCTGCCCAGCACTCCCCTCTGCTGGCCCAGCTCTGCTGTGCCGCGGGGAGATCAGCGGGAGCAACGGGCACAAGACACATAGAACGGGTTTGTACTGACAAGAGGTCTGTGTTTGCTATTATTTCTTGTCAGATATGCGAGATGCCTTCAGCTGTCTTTGCTCGAAGCAGCTGAGAAGAGCTGGAGTCCAAGATGAGAACCAACAAGGTGTACAAACTCGTCATACACAAGAAGGGCTTTGGAGGCAGTGGTCAGTATCTCCTGGTTTGCAACATGAGAGACCAGCACTCACCTAATTAAAAGCAACTGATTAATAAATTACCTTTTTGACAAAACAGTGAAGGTGGAACTTAGGTGTAACAAGCAGTGTTGCCAGCCAGAGTTTGGAAACTCTGATAGGTCTTTCTGATAGCAGGATAACATTCTGACAACATAATAACATTTGTTGGAAGAGAACAAGATTGCACCTATAGAATAAAATTGCTTTATTCTACCTCTTCCCCTTTTGTTGCATCACTTTTTTTTTAACCTTGTGTTTTAGTCACCTTCATAAGTGGCAGACATATCAATGACTTCTGACTGCAGGGGGTTGTGTTCCTGTGCACTAATAACGGTGTCCTTGGTTTGACTGCCCCCTGCTTCTAGACTTACACGTGCTGATAAATCCTGTTGAGGTTTCCTGGCTGGCTGCTTTCCTGCTGGTGTTTGGTATATGAAAACCAGAGAGGATGATCCTGGCTGCCCAATTAAGGCACATTCTTTTGCTGAACACACCCTCTGTGAAAGTTCTGTTATTTGAGCTGTTTGTGTCTGTGGGAGGGGCCCTGTCGTGGGGTGAAGGTAAAGCCTTGCTGGCACAGAGGGCCTGGGCTGGGGTGTTTATGTGGAGTAAACTATTGTGTGCAAACATGCAGGTGTCTGTATTTGGTGTGTGTCTGCTCACTGCCCTCGTTTGTGTCTTGTAGATGATGAACTGGTGGTGAATCCTAAAGTATTCCTTCAAATCAAGCTGGGAGATGTTGTGGAGATTGCCCATCCCAATGATGAGTACAGGTGAGTTCTCTTTGCTGATGTCAGTCAGGTGTGATGGGAGCACTGAAAGGGTGTGTTCACCTGCAGTGGCTCCTGGAGTGAGGGGCTCTTACAGCTGATACCACTTTGCTGCCATGAATTTTTTCTGCCTGAAGGAAAGTAAAAGAGTTGAATTTAGCAGGAGCTCTTGTCTAAAGTTTATGGACTTCTTTGTGTTTGGTGTTAGTTTGCTCACCTTTCATAGGCCAAGTAGCACCTGAATACAGAATCTACAGGGTCTATATCCTATTCATAGAGCTGCTGTTACCTAAGGACTATTCTTCACCCTATGGTATATCTTAGGAAAAATTAAAATTATGTTGTCAGCCAGAAAAACCACCTTCTATAAAGCTGTTCATCCTGCACCCCCTGTCTGAAAAGCAGCAGAACACTGGTGTGAGGCTCTGAGAAGTTCTTGTGTGCCTTATTTTCCCATTTATAGTATCATCTCTACCTCAAGAATACCTTATAATGAGTGTAAAGAACAAGAGGGGGTGACAGGTGGGCAGGAGGATGGATGAAGCTTCCTAGAAAATATTATTGTTTCTCTTTAGTTTATCTGTGCTCCATGTTTCTGAATAGTTTTGAGAGTAATTTACCAGAGAGATTGTTGGTCTCTCAACTTGTCTGCTGTTTTCTCTTTTGCCTGCTAGTCCCCTGCTCCTGCAAGTGAAGTCACTGAAGGAGGATTTGCAGAAAGGTAAAACTCCAGAGTTATCTTATTCACAGTAGAATCATAGACAAGGATTGTGTGACTGAACTGTACCTGTGCTTGGCTAATGCTTCTATTTTAACTTCATAGGTAAATCAATGCTCTATTTAGGAAGGGAAGGATTATAATTTTAACAGAAAATGATCAGCCAATTTTAAATCTGCTTTTTGGTTGAGTGATGTGAGGTGTGGTTTAAGCAACTTGGCTTTTTAGCCTGAAATTTTTGTTTCTGCCTTTTCTGACTGGCTTTATATCTTCTTGCAGGAATTAATTCAGCCTAAACTTTGCATTTATCTCATGTGCTTTATTTTTGACTCTTAGATTGGCTCATAGCTGAAATAAGCTGTTGTCTTTTGCTGAGGTGTTCACTTGTCTGCTGTCCTGTCTCGTTTTTGTGGCAGAAACAATAAGTGTGGATCAGACAGTTGCCCAGGTGTTCCGACTGCGGCCGTACCAGGATGTCCATGTGAATGTTGTTGACCCAAAGGTGTGTGACTTTGCTCAGATCAGAGCCCTGGGACTTTCCATCTACAGTAGTATTGGGGAAAAAAAGCATTTTTTTTTAATTGAAAGATATTTAGTCTTCTTTCCTAATTGCCTTGGGCAGTTGAATTATTTGCTGGTTTCTTACGTGTCTCTTCTCTCCCTCCCATCCCTGCTCTCTTTTTGAACTCTATGGACCTGATGGAAATGCACACATTTCAAATATCTTTAAATTCTAGAAATTAGGGGTAACCAGGCAGAGTAAACAGAAAGTGGCCAATCAAAAGAAGAGTCATGGGCTGGATTTGCATTATTTGGCACCACAGAGCCTCTTACAGAGAGGCATTTCCTGTGAATGTCCCGACTATCACAAGAGCTGCAGTCAGAGCTTACATTCAGCACAAGACAAAAATCTGCAGGACATAAGGTTTCTTTAATGTCATCAACAATGGCAGTAATTTGTTTTACTTGTGCTTCCAGTTTGCACTGAGACTTGTAGCACAGGCTTAGGCCTTGGGCAGTGTTTTGTAGCTCCCAGTAGTTGAGGTACATGCACAGCTGTGGCATTTATTTGGATGGGAGTCCCTTTTATCTTATATTTGCCCTTCCTGTGGCATTTGGTTTTTAAATGAACATATTGATGGGCACTACTTAGAAACAACCAGTAAAATCCAAGCTCTGTTTTTCATCCCTTTCCCAGGAGGTGACCTTGGACTTGGTGGAGCTGACATTTAAGGATCAGTATATTGGGCGTGGGGACATGTGGCGACTGAAGAAGAGTTTGGTAAGGCCCCTGCTGCCCTCCTGTGCAGGGAGCAGGAGATAATGTGCCTTTTTTCTGTGCCTGCTGTGAAAGAAAATAAGTGCTTTACAAAATACAGAAAACTGAGGACACGAGCAGTGTCAGCAGCTCCCAAGGAGCTTGTGCTGTGAGTGGTACGTCAGAGCTGGAGACAAGGCTGTAAATGTGCTACAGGAAAATGAGTCCCATCATTTCCTGCTCCACTGCTGTAATGTTAATTACTGTCTTGGGCGTTGAAAATGCTGTTGAGAGGTTTTTTTCTTGTGTTCTGAATTTTAATGATTTGCTGCGTTTGGAAGGAATCAAATCAAAACGTTTTCTAAGTAGAAATAAGCTCAAGTGTCCCCTCTCTGGCAGTACCACTTAATAAGCAGCTGTTGGAATATTTTCTTTCTGCATCTCTGAAGTGCAGTCTTTGGCTCTTCTAAGTGCAGTGAATTAGTCAAATGATCCAAATAAAAGTTCATATGTGTTAAAAATTATTTTCTGTTGTCTTTTGCAGAGGTTTTGTAGGCTGGGATATCAGCAGTAACTGCACTCAGTGGTTTTTGTTACTTTGTTATATGCAGATCAGGTGTTTGAGTGTGAATGGGGTTTTCTGTACACTGTTCTGCTCACTCTGAGCCTCCTGTTCTTCTGACACCTGTAACTCTTCCCTCCTAGGTCAGCACCTGTGCATATGTCACCCAAAAAGTCGAATTTGCGGGTATCAGGTCAGTGCCTCCTCTGAGGGCTTAATGTTACTTATGACTTTAGGTTTGTGAGTTCTGAGTATCCAACTGGAGAAAATGCTCTGAAAAATCCTTCGTGTTTTATCGTTCTCTTACTCATCTACAGACTTCTGTCTGCACCAGGAGGTGGGGGAAGGCTTCTATCTGATTTGGGGTGAAAGAAACTAAGAGCAGGACATCCAGCTACACTTGTGGCTTCTGTTGAATGCCAAATATTTCTCCTTTTATCTCTTATAATATTTCTCCCCTTCCAAAATGTATTAATAGTTCAGATGAGGTTTAGTTCAGTTGCTGTTGAGGTGACTGAGGGACAAGGAAATGTGCAGATGCAGAGGCTGTTTGATACCTTTTGGATTAAAGATCAGATTTTAACCAAATAAGTCATCCTTGAGTGCAGATTTTGGTCCATCTCTTGTTTGCTTAAATATTGATTTTCTAATCTTCATGTTTACTCTGGCCAGCAAATACTCTGCACTTCTTTTCTTCCAGGGCTCAGGCAGGGGAACTGTGGGTAAAGAGTGAGAAAGTCACCTGTGGATACATCAGTGAGGACACCCGGGTAAGATTTCAGGAAGCAGGGAAAAAGCAGTTTTTCCCTTCCTCTCCTTGTCAGGTTTCTTGTAATTCTATCTCACTTGCAGATTTGTGTGGATCATTGGAATTGGCTGTGTTGTAAGGTGAAGAGTGGCAATAAATTCAGAAGAGTGAATGATTAGTTGAACTTCAGCTCTGCTGTGCTGGCAGCACCAGGAATTCCTTGGCCTGTTGAAATGTCAACTTGTTAGGGGGGAAATTCCCTGCTATGCAGGGGGCACAGTCATAGATGTTGCTGTGTAATTAACCTCTTCATTTGGCCCTATTAGTGAATGTACCTTGTTTTGAATGAGGTCTTTATTCCTCTGCAGGTGGTTTTCCGCTCCACTTCTGCCATGGTTTATATTTTTATCCAGATGAGCTGTGAAATGTGGGATTTTGATATTTATGGTACGTAGGTAACTGCCCTGCCTGGGAATGGGGGTGCCAGCAGCTCTCCTTTCTGCACCTGCTAGAAAACTACCACTGCTGTTTGTTTCTGCCACTGTTGGAAAACTGAAACATTCTGCCCTTGGCCTGGGCAGTTCTCCAAGGTGCCTCAGATCCTTACTTGCAGTGCCACTTTTCTGTCTCCTGGGTGGGCCATCATTTTCCTGTCCCTGCTGTAGAGCCTGAGCACCATTATCTCGGTGATGAAATCAAGGGGCAACTCACTGTGAGCACTGGAGAGGTTTTCTGTGGGTTTGAACACGTTTGGTGATGAGGGTGGGTGCCAGTCTGGGAATCCTGAAACCAGAAATGTGTGAAAGTCTCGTGCAAAGAGGACCTTGATGTTTTAGATTTCTCCTGACTTTAGCTTAGCAAGGAAGTAAAACCTGCTTTAGCCCAGGTGGAATTCGGTACCTTCAGCTGAAAATATTAAAACTTCAGGCATGAAGAATGAGTCACTTCTCTGTGTCATCATCCCATTTTTTTTTCTGGCTTAATTCTTTAGCAAGCCTCTTGCCACTTCCTGTGACCATGTGTTTGGGCATATGGAGCTGGGCAACTGTTCAGAACTGGGCAGGGGATCGGTTGTGCATCCTCTGCCTAAAAACAGTACAGATGCTTTCCCAGCGTGCTGGGAGTGTGTTGGAAAAAATAATTTAAAGGCCAGAACCTTTTGACAGTGAGAGTCATGTTTACATCCTCTGAAACAGTCATGCTTTTTAACATTTATATCATCTTATTTTAGTGATACGAGCCTTCATAATGCACACAGCTGCTCTGAGTCTGATAGAAATAATTGTCCTAGAATCTCAGGGTTAGATGTGCCCTTTACTTGAGGTAACTACAGTTATCTGATGCTTGGGAGATGTTTACTTTGCAGGGGACCTGTACTTTGAGAAGGCTGTGAATGGTTTCCTCGCTGACCTCTTCACAAAATGGAAGGTAAATAGCTGATTGAGTTCAGTTTTAATTTTTTATTTCCCTGGAACTGTTTGGGGCACCTCTATGAACAGGTATATTAAATTGCTGTAGGTATAAACAAATTGAGTCAATTGTCTTTAGGTTTTTAAGCAAAAATCTTGGCAACTACAGAGAGGAGTTTCTTTAGAGAGCAGGGAAGAGTGCTCCTGGTAAATGTGATATAACCAAGAAGCACAGAATCTGCAGGACAGATCATTGTTATTTCAGAGAGGCAGATGCAGGACTGTGCAGATACATTAATAATAATACTGTACTTTCTTTTAGTTACCTTTTTTCCAGATGTGAGGGAAAAGAGTGTGTTACTATGTGTTTTCTACTGAATGTGACCTTTGAAGTTCTCTTTTTGCCATTTATTCTTCCTGGACAGGAGAAGAATTGCAGCCACGAAGTGACAGTGGTTCTATTTTCTAGAACATTTTATGAAGCAAAATCTATAGGTATGTAAAATCTGTATTTTCATGTTTCCATTTTTAAACCTATATCCTTCTCTTTTGAAAATTGGTCACAGGTTTCCAGTTAATTTTTCCCTTTTCCTTTTAATGCCCACATTCAAAGTATTTTCTATCAGAGTAGGCACACAGCCATTGTTATGAAAGTACTGCAGTGAGAACCTTATATAGAAGAATAAATGGCAAATATTCTTCATCATATTCCGACTCTCACGTTGGTTTGAAAGCAATTTTTATGTTGTGTAGGAGGTCTGATATTTCTCCAAGTGTTTTGGTTTTTTGTTTGTTTGGTGGTTGGTTTGTTGGGTTTTTAAATGGAAAAACAGCTCCTTTCTGGAAAAGATGAGTCATTTCTCTACAAGAGCATGGGATAAGATGTGCTTTTCCTCCCATTTCAGATGAGTTCCCTGAAACACATCGTGCATCCATTCGACAGGATCACGAGGGAAGGTTTTATGAAGATTTTTACAAGTATGTTTGTTTTCCTCACAATTCTTTTAGCTCTTGTCCCACAGTGTGTGTGCAACCCAGTGCACCTTTTTGTGCATTCCTTTATAGTTTGTTCATCCCTTCTCCCTTCCTCTCATGGCTTCCTTCCATGATCCTCATTAAGTTTTGCTCTCTCTAGGGTTGTAGTTCAGAATGAGAGGAGAGAGGAGTGGACCTCATTGCTTGTGACCATTAAAAAGCTTTTCATCCAGTATCCTGTGTTGGTACGACTGGAGCAAGCAGGTACAAGACTCCTCCTTTCCCTGCTTTTACCCTTTTCTCTCTCTCTTTTTTTTTTTTTCTTTTAACTTGTCTGTAAACTCTCCAGTTTCACTTGGACCCTGGTGTTGTACTACTCAGTGCTCTCCTGGCTGGGCTGTTTTGCCCAGGTCTTTCTGTAAAAAACCATAATAACACCAATTTTGCCTGTAATTTTTGAAGTAATAGGGTTTAGTACAAATACATTTTTCTGTATTTGGTTTTTTTTTATTATTTTTGTAAAGATAATCTATGCAGAGATGATCATTTTTTTGTTGTTGTTGGTTTTTTTTCCTTCTGAACACTTGTCCAGATGGCTTTCCTCCAGGTTACAATTCCACCTCAGCACAAGGGAACTACCTGGAGGCCATAAATCTTTCGTTCAATGGTAAGTTATGAGCAACATATAAAAATATGCAGGGGAAAAAACCCACTAAAGCAGCTGCCAATAAATGGGTGTGGATTTCTGTTGCCTGCTCCTTAACACAGTGAAGAGGAGGGGAATATTAGGTGTTAAATTATCATTTTGAGCCTCAGAAGAAATTGTCTGATGTGTCTCCAGAAAACCAGTGCCTCTCAAATAACAGTGTTGAGTATTTCAGGTCTCAGGAACCATTTACAGGGCCTTGAGATGATGAAACTTTGAGCTGTGCATCTGTGTGAGAACCTCTGGGAATAGAAGCTGAAATCTTAAATTGTGGAAGTGTTTCAAAATCAGGATAGATCAAATGTGATTAAGTTGAAGCTGCTCCATCTTTTTTTAGCAGGAAGTTGGATTTGATGGGCTGTAGGAGCTCTCCAAAGGCACACTTTTTGTGATTCTGTACATAGATGTCATTCTGTCACTTTAATGTCTGTCTTGTCACTCCCGTAGGAGGGAGCTCAGGGTGTTATTTGAAGTGATTAATGTTGCA